TTTTGCTGTAATATTAATATCTACTTTTTGGTATTTGTATGCATTGAATTAATCTTATTGGACGACTAGTTGTGTATATGTTTTTAAATTGGGCTACCTTAATTTGTAAAAATTACGAATTAAATGTCATTAGTTGTATTTATGTAGTGTTGCTGAAAATATTAAAAAATTTTATTATGGTACGGAATCGAACGGACCCGAACCGAACCCGAACGGTTTCATAATTATATTTGGACCCACGGGTCCATTTATTAAATACCCGAAAGTTTTGGGTCGGTTCGAGTCTCTTCAGAACCAAATTGAACCGACCCACGAACAGCCATACCTAAAATCATTAAGCTTTTATCAAATTTTCAATTGCCGATCAGATTAAAATTTTCGCGTAACATGGTCTTCGTGAAATGATATTATATTACTTGTCGTGGTGTTGAGCACTCACTATTTTATCCGAACAAAAGACTAGAAGATCGGGAAGGCGAATCTTCTATCACGTCACACACAATAAATCTTTGTTCGGTTTGAGTCATTTTAAGTTGAATATACTGAAACCAAATATTCAATCATTCATCGAACTTTAATTCAGGCAATTTTCAGTGTAAGCTAGTGAAAAACGAGCAAACCATAGCCAAACTTCATCACATGTTTAACCATTTCTAGAAACTACCGGCCATTAATTTAAACTCGTGTATGACAATTAAATTATGTGTCATGTGTACACATTTCTTTATTAGTTAATAATTAGGTATGGATAGGGACCTTTAGTTCTCATCTCTTCTTATTGTAAAATTTTTAATTATTAGACGAGGTATCAAATACTAAACCCGACATGTACGTTTGGATTTTACTAGAAAAATGCAAGCTTTGCACTTGGACACAAGTGCTGTCATGAAATAGAGTTTCTAAGTATAAATTTTCTGATATTATATTGATCAATAGTTTTTATGAGGTCCTTCTTTGATTTTGATATTTTAATAATCACTTTTTTTTTTACACTCAATTTTAACTCTATATTCTTAAAACTGTTAACGTGTATGACAAAATCGCATGCAACTTTCACATGACTTCAAATGAGATGGCAAAACTATCAAACTGTTTAACGTTTCTCTCTAATTCAAATGAAAGAACCGTTCAATTTTAATATTCAAATGAAAGGTGGGAGCTGATTTCTTATTTTAGTTTTATTGTTAATATTTGAGAAAATGTAGTTATACCATTTTACCCTTTTCAATTAAGTTAAAATTGGTCAAATTTTTATTTCCTTGGTCACCTAACAGTCAAATTGATGGTTTTCATCCATTCGGACTTCAGTGCTAATTTTTCTAAGGCTTGGGGTCGTTGAAGGCACAAACTAAACGTTAAGGTAAAGTTTGCAAAAATCTCAAAGGTTTGAGACTGCTACTACAATTTTTCCTTAAATAAACTCCACTGCATGTATTTGAAAAATCATAAAGAAAAATAAGAACCTTTTCTTGGTCACGAAGTGTAGGCAAACAACCCAAAATTGACTGTCTAACTCGTTATCCATCAATATTTCATTGACACGTATTTTTAAAGACAAGTAATAGTAAAAAAAAAAAGTTGAATACATTAATTTAAAGTAATGTATCCATAAATCATTTAGTGAACAATAAATTTAACAGTCAATTTTGAACAATAAATCTCAACAACCTCAAAAGCAAAGTCTAGACGGTCTCTTTGCCACGTGTAGGTCCCATGCATGTCCTTAGTGGGTGGCACGTGTTCTTACACGTGGGTGCTGCACTTATCAAACAGTAGAAAGTTTTTGTTTGGTGTCTCTTTCTGTGTGCACCGTGCACGCTGACATTCAACACAATTCAGCCCAGAAAGAAAAAAAGCAAATCTTCTTTCAGACGTATACCTCAACCTTAAGGAACTTTAATAAATATTTTTAATTGGGGATATGTTAATTTTACAAGTTTTTGGTAAGTTCTTGGTATTATTTAGGTCAACTGAGTTTTTAGAACTAATCCATTTCCGATTTGCTAGTTCAACTACAACAATTGAGAACAATCGTATCTCTTAATCCTATTAATGTTTAGCTTAGCTTAATGTTAATTACTTTGTTTAAAAGTTTAAATTATATATTACTTGTTCATAACTTGTTCATGTTCATTGTCGAATCAAATTTTCACCCAAATTACCCAACTTAATAAAATAATATTGAATATAAAAAAATAGTAAAATTATATTCATTATACGAACTTCTAATCAAAGCTCCATGCTAAGGATCCGTTTGACAAGTGTTTTTACTTCGCTTTATGTCGAAGAATTTCTTGATGAAATTATCATAGTTAATCTTTCTTTAAAAACTATTCTAACCACACGAGCACTTCAAAAGAAATTCCAAATAGATTAATTTTTTAATCTCAGAAGTAACTGTTAACTTTTTAAAAGTCATACTAAATAGACCCCAAAAATAGATTGCATCCCTTGAAAAAAATGGGGACCGGCCACTAACTTTCAAAAGAATAGGACAAATGACTTCATAGTATTATCAGCAATCGTGATAAAACCTAGTTAAATTGGAAATGATCATTTCCTTAGTGTATTGTCTATGAACAAATGGATAATGAAAAAGATTATTAACAAAGTCACAATTTAATCCTTCTTCCCATATCGTTTTCGATTGTTACATTTACAATGTCTCCAAGTAATTTACTGGACCAAACTTGGCCACAAAGCATATGTTTCTTCCACGCTTTTTATGAAGTAATGATAATGATTATTTGTTTCTTCTTCCACGCTTTTTATATAAGAACAATGATATGATGAAGATCTCAAGATAAATATTCAAGAAAATCTTTGAAATTTTCTTGATTGACAACAACACGTCAAATTGTACGCTTTTGCCGGTCATCTATCAATAAATACTTTTATATCCTCGTCCCAATCCACTAAATGTTGAAATGGATATTTTAAATCGAGAAACTTCAATTACTTTTGCGATATTTAAGTGTACACTATGAATTAAAAATTACAAATTTTCACATGCCATGCCGTGAATTAGGACATTTCAAAAACTTATCATGAGCAAGTACGGACTTTTATTGATTTCACACATGATCGATCGAACATGTTAAATCTCGTTAAAAAAAACTTAGAAAAATGATATCTTCCACTAACATATTCCCTGTACGATTGATGGCTTCATTTTTCATCAAACTTGATACGCATACAATTTTCATGTGTGTACGTACGTAAATCAAACTTTTTGTCTGCCTTTATTTAAAGTTTACAGTTCAAAAAGAAAGAAATATTATCAAGACGGTGTCCGTGTCCATGGTGCAACTGGAAAAGCAAAAGGAGAGACGACAAGATAATAGTTGCAACATGTTTTTCTTTTGATAATCGAAGATAACGTAAACGTCAAAATCTTAGTACCAAACTTGAACCTAAAATCCTAAATTCTGCTGTTTTGTTCTTTTCGATAATGTTCAAACAAACGATAACAAGCTACCTAAAAGCAAGTAAAAAAGAATAACTAAAAATTGTAATTTTATTAAAAAAAGAAGTGTGTATATGTTTATCCAGAAAAAACAAATGAATATTCAAGAAGAAGAAGAGGGAGGATAGTAACTGGAACTGGTATTCCATGGTGGTATTGTAAAACTGGAACTGCTTCCTTGTGTTTGAGTTTGATTTCCTTGCTGCCCGAAATGAGTTGTTTGTTCACTGGAAACCATCGGTGGATTTGAAGAAGACGAAGATTGAGAAGAAGAAGAAGAGGGTATTGATTGTGAATATAAACCAGCTAATGATGAAGCATAAAACATTTGTTGTAACAACGTTGCAGAATGTTGGCCACGGAAATTATCACTGTTTTGAAGTAATTGTGAATAATCCCAATAGTCTCTCATGGTGTTAGAGATATGGGACGACGGAGTTTGGAAGAATGGGGTGGACGGCGGCGGACGTGGTGGTGGACGAGTTGCAATGGCCAACGGTGCGGGTTGGGAAATCTGGGGCTGGGGTGGGTTGAGGATTCTGACATTTTCAGGGAAATTTAGTTTGGCTCTGTTGCCTCTGAAACGGAGGGCTGCTTCATCGTATGCTCTGGCGGCGGCCTCCGCCGTTTCAAATGTGCCCAACCACACTCTGGCGGCTTTATGTGGATCCCTTATTTCTGCTGCCCATTTGCCCCATGGCCTCTGTCTAACTCCTCTGTATCTTCTTCTCTCTCCTGTTTCTTGATTTGCAGTGCTCGTTACTTCTGCTTGTGGTTGCGCTACGGCGGCGGAGGTGGTGGGAGGCATTGCAAAACTTGTTCCTGTCTCCGGCTCTGGAAATAAAATCAAATAAATGGATAGTTTACAAATTAAAAATAATAGTCAAATATAGGCGCAAGCAATGGCCCATCTCATATCTTCTTTTAACAAGAACTTTAATATAATATATTTAAAAAAATGATTAATTCAAATTCTTAGCTTATTACAAATTTGAACAATCGAAGTTGAAAGTAAAAATTTGGAAGAATGAATTTTCAATTTTAGAAAAACAGAGGAGTTTGCATAATGGCTTGGAATATGGGAAAAAATTATGATAAAAATCAAGGTTTTTTACACTAACCATCTTTGACAGAAGAAGATAACTCTCCGAACCGCCGATAAACCGACGGGGCTTGCTCCGGTAACTGCGTAACACTATCTTCTTGATCACGTCTTCTCTTCTGGCCAGGCAAAGAGCCAGAGCTGGAAGAAGAATAAGCAGCAGACGATGGCGAATTGGCTAAATGAATATTCCCAGAACCACCAGCAAACGACGGTGCAACAGCGTCACCACTTAGTTGCTCAGGTGTTAGCCACCTCTCGCCACCGTACCTCTGCCCCGACACCACATGCGTTAGAGCGGTCACCATAGCTGACATCTCAAGCGATTGACTATGGCCCGAAAACATCGACTCCCCTGCCACTGCTGATAGTAAATAATCCGGTTGATCTTGCTGTTGCATTTGGTAGTATGGATCAATATTCAAAACTGCGGCAGAGGTGGTGGCGGCGGCGGCGGCGGTGGAATTGGAGGTGGAGGTTTCTGCTGGAAATCTGACATACTCGCCGCTATCTCGTGGATTCGCCACCTTTAAACAATAGCATGTACCAACCGTACTAAATTCTCTTCACAAATCTTTTCTTCCAAAATCACCAAATCAATAAGAACCCTAACTTGTAAGCCCCGATAATCTTTTGCATGAACTAGCAGCCACCTTGAGAAGAACACGTGCAAAAAACTGAATCAAAATTCAACAAAATTGACTGATGCAGCTGTGGGGACCTGGGAAGTATCAAAGAACGGCTTTATAGAAAAGAAAAAAAGAACAAATTCGAACTGGTATAGCCGTCAATGGAACAGTGCTAAACTTTAAATTTCTGCAAAATGAGTTTAAAAGCTAATTATATATGAATAAAAATTCGCTTTTTGTTCCTCTAAATTAAGATAGATATAACATGTTCACACCGCTTGACTGATCGTGGCTAAATTACATGTATCTGATCTGTTTACTAGAGACCCGGGGTCGGTTTCTGGCTTGTTTCAGTGTGCGTGTGTGTGTGTGAGAGAGAGAGAGAGAGGAGAGAGATAAAGAAAGAGATAGAAATCATCTTCGAATTGAGTTCTTCGCTTTGCATCATCAAAAATAATAAAGTATGGAAGAGGAAAAAGTAAATTAAAATTAAACCACATTTTTCTAAATTTTTTAAAAAAAACTCATTCAGTCACATTTTTCCTTTTAAAATAATTTTTAATTCCACGATCTTCCAAAAAAAACAATTTTCATAAAATTCATTCTACAGGAATTTTCATCGAACAAAGGGTTAATGGGTACTGAGAATCCTAAATCCCCGTTTGTCATCGAACAAAGGGTTAATTCTACATGAATTATTTGCTACAGTACCATTCTCCACCACACATTCACACAATAAAATATTCTACACACGTGCCCCAGGGCACATCCGAGAAGGCAAAGATAGTGCAAGGCTGGGCTTGCAATCCCAGTAAAATTATAAATCAAATAATGAGCAAACTTATTAACCTTTGACCGAGTTTTTAGCGTATCACGTTTCACGAATATTAAACTATTTGTTGGTCAACGCCTAAACAATAAGACCTTTGAATGGATCCTTGTCTTTGATTTTAATTTAAGTGGCACAAAATAGGTCGTTTCATATCCACTATTTTACACGAAATGGTATAGTGTTTGAATCTCGTGTTGGTCAAAACACGTCTCTTTTCTGACTTTATTAACTCATAGAATTATTAAAACTAATTAAGAAGTCTTGAATGGTATTATTAGACTAGTGCAATCGATAATTAAAAAATAAATTTTTTAAATTTATTTTTCTTATTTCGTATGAATATATTTAAACTTGTTCGGTGGGGATTAAATTCAATTTTTTAGTAGATTTTGATAAAAATTGATGTATTGCGTGGTTGGAAAGTTATGGATCCCATAAAATTTGTGGTTAAAATTAATTGTTGATTTTGACTTAAATTAAAATACCTACTAGCGTGTTCGCCTCAGAGACAAGTTATCTGACCATCTCTCTTTTATGGAAAAAGCCACTCATCCAGCTTAAAAACAGGAAACGAGGAGACAAGTGGTGTGTAGGGAAATGATTGGGCATTGTTTTGTTTTTTTTTTTAACTGTCCAATCCAATGTAAACACGTATCTTCCCTGTATTTAAACCTGGATTTGAGCATGTTCCTGTAGCATTTCTCCTCTTTCATTTGAATTTGTTAATATAAGGAGAAATTAATCAGGACCGTCAAATATGGTTCTTGCCTAATCATCGCTTCAACTTTTTTAATTTATCTTCCCTTTTAATTTTTAATTAAACCGATTGTTATTAGTTACAACTAGTCGTAATTAAGATGAGATTCGTGATTTTAATAAAACGGTAAGGATAATATTTGGACCAAATTAAGCTAGCTTTTAAATGTAACACGTGGAAAGGTCAAGAAGAGAACAATAGTGGGGTAGGTAAGTAGGTAGGTCAGTACGGGCATAGACACGTAATTAACCATTTATTGCTTAAAAATAAATGTTATAAAATAACGGCACTAATTATTTTCTTTCGTGTTAATGTTGACATCCGACGATTCGCAAACGACATCGTTTATGGTTGACACTGAGATGGTATTTGATCATCTTCAAATATCAAACTTCCATTCGTTATTTTTTTTCTTTTTTAATAATCGTGAATGTTCGGACCAGATTGAGCGCACCTCAACTAATCCAACGAAGCCCTGAATTTTACGGCCGGATACTCACCTCAATGGTCCCGAGAGGATTCTAACTGGTGACCAAAAACTTCTGTTCGTTATTAATGAGAATATCTTATCGTTATTTACTACTTTTTTCGTTTTTAATCGTCATTTTTATCTTGAGAGCCTTTTTTTCCATCCACGTCCCAACATTAAATGAGTTTAAAAGCTAATTATATGAATAAAAATTCGCTTTTTGTTCCTCTAAATTAAGATATATATAACATGTTCACACCGCTTGACTGATCGTGGCTGAATTACATGTATCTGATCTGTTTACTAGAGGCCCGGGGGTCGGTTTCTGGCTTGTTTCAGTGTGCGTGTGTGTGAGAGAGAGAGAGAGAAGAGAGATAAAGAAAGAGAGAGAAATCATCTTCGAATTGAGTTCTTTGCTTTGCATCATCCAAAATAATAAAGTATGGAAGAGGAAAAAGTAAATTAAAATTAAACCACATTTTTCTAAAATTATTTTTTAAAAACTCATTCAGTCACATTTTTCCTCTTTAAAATAATTTTTAATTCCTCGACCTTCCAAAAAATTAATTTTCATAAAATTCATTCTACAGAAATTTTGATCGAACAAAGGGTTAATGGGTACTGAGAATCCAAAGCCCCCGTTTATCCACGGTACCATTCTCCACCACACATTCACACGATAAAATATTCTACGCACAAATTAATAAAATTTCCTTATTTTTTAACCACATATTTTTCATCATTCTACGATTCTATAATACATTACGAGAAAGTAATGACTCTCAAACGGGGTATAAATAAGGAACTATAAGTAGAATTTTGAAGTTTATTGAAAGAGGGAAAAAACAAAAGGTTTCTCTTATGGCGGTTAGGGCCCGTGGTAGGGTGAAGATGACTGAAAAAGATGGATTTAATTACATGATTAACACGTATATAATATCGAATTTATAAACAATTTAATTTCTAAATAAATAAAAATAAGTAAATTATAAGTTTTGAACGACTATTTTTCTTGAGTTCGTAATCAAACGCACGATTCATAAATTAAAAGTACTTATTAACCTTTGACCGAGTTTTAAGCGTATCATGTTTCACGAATATTAAACTATTTGTTGGTCAACGCCTAAACAATAATACCTTTGAATGGATCCTTGTCTTTGATTTTAATTTAAGTGGCACAAAATAGGTCGTTTCATATCCACTATTTTACACGAAATGGCATAGTGTCTGAATCTCGTATTGGTCAAAACACGTCTCTTTTCTGACTTTATTAACTCATAGAATTATTAAAACTAATTAAGAAGTCTTGAATGGTATTATTAGACTAGTACAATAGATAATTAAAAAAATAAATTTTTTAAATTTATTTTTCTTATTTCGTATGAATATATTTATACTTGTTCGGTGGGGATTAAAATCAATTTTTTAATATATTTTGATTAAAGTTGATGGATTGTGTGGTTAGAAAGTTATGGATCCCATAAAATTTGTGGTTAAAATTAATTGTTGATTTTGACTTAAATTAAAATACCTGCTAGCGTGCTCGCCTCATAGACAAGCTATCACGAGCCGAGCTAATTTGGGCTTTTTCGTGCGAATCACTTATTAGAAAGAAATCAGACCATCTCGCTTTTGTGGAAAAAGCCACTCATCCAGCTTAAAAACAGGAAACAGGGAGACATGGTGGTGTGTAGGGAAATGATTTGGCATTTTTTTTTTAAACTGTCTAATCTGATGCAAACACGTATCTTCCCTGAATTTAAACCTGCATTTGAGCATGTTACTGTAGCATTTCTCCTCTTTCATTTGAATTCGTTAATATAAGGAGAAATTAATCAGGACCGTCAAATCTGGTTCTTGCCTAATCATCGGGTTCAACTTTTAATTTATCCTCCCTTTTAATTTTTAATTAAACCGATTGTTATCAGTTACAACTAGTCGTATTTAAGATGAGATTCGTGATTTTAATAAAACGGTAAGGATAATATTTGGACTAAATTAAGCTAGCTTTTAAATGTAACACGTGGAAAGGTCAAGAAAAGAACAATAGTGGGGTAGGTAAGAAGGTAGGTCCAGTACGGGCATAGACACGTAATTAACCATTTATTGCTTAAAAATAAATGTTATAAAATAATGGCACTAATTATTTTCTTTCGTGTTAATGTTGACATCCGATGATTCGCAAACGACATCGTTTATGATTGACACTGAGATGACATTTGATCATCTTCGAATATCAAACTTCCATTCGTTATTTTTTTTTATAACCGTGAATGTTCGAGTCAATTTGCGTGCACCTCGACTAATCCCATGGAGTACTGAAGTTTACGGTCAAATACTTATCTCAGTGGCTCTGAGAGGATTCGAACTAGTGACCAAAAACTTCTGTTCGTTATTAATGAGAATATCTTATCGTTATTTACTACTTTTTTCGTTTTTAATCGTCATTTTTATCTTGAGAGCCTTTTTTTCCATCCACGTCCCAACATAGGGCTTTGCTTCCACTTATCCAAAAGAATCATCTTTAAATCTTCCCTTTTTATAGATTAAAAGAGAAATAAATGTCTATTACATGACAATTGAAATGATTTTGAGGTTGGTTGTTTTTGTTTGTATATGAAGTTCAAATGAAAAGATGGAAAAAAAAAATTATAACTTTTAAAAATGTCAATATGACTAAGAATTGAATAAACACAAATTGTATTGGTAGAAAAATCCTGGTAATTTTTAACTGGATTAATTGATAATTGAAGTAAGTAATTGTTCGTGTAATTTTATAGAAATTTTATCGAAGTAAAATCATTAGATTAGAACTGTAAGCTTCAGTTTCGATAGTTGAACTCTTTCTCGTACTTGTTATACAAAATTTAAAGTTCACCTTATAATTGTGTCAAAGAATCGTTTGATAGTTGTTTCGTTATGTACAAGACAAGTCTTACCTTCATTGTAATTGAAAACAATATGAAAAATGAATATTTGATAAACATATGAAAATATTTTTCTTTTAACCTTTAGATTGCTTTATTACTTTCAAGTTAAGACACTACTTTTAAAAAGGAGTATGAAAGGGAAAAAGGTGGAAATTATCTATTGATTTTTTACTTAAAAAATATCATTTGTTATATCCTCTCTATTCGATTTAAACTCATCTCCATCCTCTATATTATGTGATACTGTTGATAACGCAAATGACTCTCTGTCTCTATCTCTATCTCTCTCTCTCTCAAGTAAAAGGGTGGTTATATTTCAGACAAGGATCTTAGAATTTCGACTTCATTGCTCTTTTCCTATCAAATTTCATTTAAATAATAATATCTACGTAACAATTTGTGTTAGGGATTACAATCATTTTTATCATGTGTAACCCTAATAATTTAAATAGGTTGATCGAGATCTTACGAGATATCATTCTATCTACTTATTACTTTATGAATAATTAGGACCGTGCACGAATCACAATCTTTAATCAAGTACGCGTTGCTATAGGTCCAATTAATCAGTAAACTTGCTTTAATTATATTCTTCATCAATGTAGTTCCTATTATTGTACTAACCCATTTTTTTGAAAGGGTTCACCAACAAAGCAATAATAATTAAAGATTTCAACTTATCTAGTATGTGACAAAGTACAATGAATTATCTAATTCACTTTTATTGCTTAGTGAGTAATTAAAACTTAGAGAACGGCGATGGGACATCAGAATATATCCTCATTGGGATCCGATAGTAACATTAACTTTGCTGCGTACCACTATGATTTTTCTTGTCAACATCGAAACATTCTCCTTTCACACGTCCAATGCAATTATGGGGTTTTAACTTATATAAGTGATTCTAGAACTTAAAGTGTGGGCTAGTAAAGAAGAAAAGGAAAGCAACTTGAGCACCTAATGTGCAAAAGGAGAGTACGAATTGAGGACTAAAGTCGGTTTTGTGAGTAAGACGTGGACTTGTGTATGATACACACTTTTAAGTGTACAATTATTTAGCGCATCCACTCGTTCTTCTCGAAATACAAAAGTTTCCATATATATTGGAAAAGATAAAAAGAATATGTTAGAGATACTATCATATACATCTTCTACAATTATGACCTATTTGATAGAATTTTTGAAAAGTCAAAATCTGTCTTTGAGATGGATAGTTGTTTTCGAACATATTTTATAATTTTTTGGAAGTGTTCTGTTTGCTTAGAGAAGCTTTTAGATGAAGTTGTCTAAGGTAGATTCATCAGCTCTTCTACAAGAAGTATAAATAAAAACGGAAGTCCTACAAAATAGATTGTTAGTCCGTCGTATCAAATATGTTTATGTAGAATATAAGTTTTAAGATAAATTATATCGCATTAAACATTATTGTTGTTGCTGCTGCTGCTGTTGTTGTTGTACAGAGTAAATAGTATTGGATTAGACGTTTAATATATAAATAGGAATAATCAATAGGCAAAAGGCAGAAAATTTCCATACATACTAGCAAGATTAGCACAGCTATAACCAAGTTCCAAGCCAAACATGCCGGTGGGCATCATAGTTTATCTCTGGAATGAGAGAGGCCAGCCCAAAGAAAATGTTAAAACCCCAGAACAAAAGCCCACTAAGGTAGCCCCTATACACACAACAAAGGTCCAATTTTTTAATATGTAATTCTACTCCAACCTAAAGCTTGTTTGGCACAACTTTTTTTTAAAGAGATGCACTCGGCAAAGACCCTCCTGTATACAATCCTCGAGGACGGCATTCATGGCAATCATTACTAGTTTATCTTGAGGGCATGGTATGGCTCTGTTCTTTGCCTTCCCCTCAAATCAGACAAATAAAGAAGGGAATTCAATTGAGTTCTTATGCTTCCGTTCGACAATTCAACTCATCCGATTATAATAGGGATGAACCCAATCGAGAATATGAACTATAAAGAAAATACTTATTTAACCGATTACAAAAACAAAAAAGCCATTTGTACAGTCATTAGTGGGCTGTAAAATTACAGCCACTAATGATTGTACATGTAGTATGTTTCTTACAAAAATATCAGTTATAATATCTATTATCTAAAGAGGGGTCCTTTCATAATGATTATTATGAAGAATCTGTAATCGAAGTATATGAAAAAAAATTGTGAATTCCAAAGAATGGGTGGTCGAAAATGATTTAAAAGAAAAAAAATTGTGTCAAACAAGCCTTTAAAGTACCAAATAGCAACCGACCACCTTAAGTTTAAATGACAACAAGGTCAATTAGTGATGGCAATGGAGCGGGGTGGGGGTGACCCACCACTCCACTCCACCTCCCCGCCCCGCGCCCCACCCAGCCTTAGACGGGACGGGACGGGGCGGGGCGAGGCTCAGGGCAGGTACGGGGCGAGGACTTGCCCCGTTTCCTGCCCCATTTGTTTTTTTTTTATTTAAAATACAAATTCAAAATTTTAAAATTCAAAACAAATAATGTTCAAACTAACTATATCAACATTCAAAACAAGCATTTGAAACAAAAAAATTTTCAAAACAAATAATGTCCAAAACAATATTTTTTTTTTAATTCTTCAAGGGGCGGGTTCGAGGCCCGCCCCGCCCCGCCAAGCCAAGCCAAGCCAACCCGTTCGAGGCGGGTTTTTTTGCTCCATTCGGGGCGGGGTGAATTGCCATCTCTAAGGTCAATAAACAATTAGTCAATAATTGCTTCAATGATTTACATAAAAAATAATTCGAATTTAATAAATTCAAAAACCACAATTTCTAAATATCTAAAAATTGGGGAGTTCGTAACCGGTTGAGATTTGTTGTTAACATCTTAAAATTTCAATAAACTTTGATAAAATTGATAAAATATGACATATAAAAAGTGTGATTATAATTAATCGTTAACTTAAAATTAAAATTTTAATCTAATATTAATCTACACCTAACGGAACGGGGCGTTTAGTTCGTGCCTTCTCAAATATTTGACTTCTCAATACACACACTCTTCCCAATGAATGAAAAGACGTCAAGAAAATACAATAACTGAAATGTCTGACTGAGGAATAAAAATACGGAACAACAAAGTACTGAAGTAATTTTTCTAACTAATTTGGCAATTTATTGTTATTATTATTATTATTATATATATGGTGCAAAGTGCCATTTTTTCAATAGTTTTGAGGGCTTGTGCAAATTATCCGAATCTTGTTCTGTTAGAATTTGACGATTTCTTCTGCGATAATCATAGAATCTGAACCTCTCGCAGGAGACAATTGAGAGTGAAATGGCGGAGGATAGTAATAAGAAAGAGTCAACACTAATACCGAGTTCTTCGAATTCGCCGCGTCACACACAAGACGTTGAAATTGAAGATCCCGACGATCCCGTCAAATCTCCTCCTAATTCCGCCAATAATTCCTCTACTCGAAAGGTTAATAATCAATTTACTTCCCCCTTTACACGCGCATATGCATATATAAATTTATCTTATTTTTAAATTATGTTGTTAATAAATTTTCTATTTATTTATTTTTTGAATTTTGTAATTTAATGTGATTATACTGTCGGCGAGCTGGGGGAGCGGTTGTGAATTCTGTATGAATTGTTAGAAATGCATGACCTTCTGAATTAATTGGTCAAAATTTAGATATTTTTCTTGTAAGATAGGAACAATTTAAGCGCAAACTCAGTGTTAATTGGGGAGAAAATTATAAGTCTACATATTACATAATTATGGGACCTAAGGAAATCCATACTTGTTATGTGTATGGAATAACATACTTGTTGGTTGTTACTATAAAAGTGAGAACTCCATTTAAGTGAGCAAATGGAGTAATGACAAAATATTCAATACACAGTGAATGAAGTTACTTTTCTAACATAGCATTACCAAATAATTACTACCACCCATGCGTGTTGGCACGGCTTTATACAGGACTTTCATTGAGTACTAATGGCCGATATGGATTAATTTATTCCTGCTGCAAGGGGACAAATCTAGTGAATGAAAAGGAAGGCAAAGAAGTATAGACTATATCGCCATAGAATTTTGTTTGGATAACTCAAGCAAAGGAAATGGGAGTGATTTGATAAATTGTATGAAGAATAAATGTAATGAACTGTATCATCAATAAGTTTACGAGGGGATCCTTCGAGGAAAATATCTTTGATTATGTTTCTATTTTGATGTAAATATGCCCATCTGCTACAATTTGTATGATATGGTAAATAAACACGTTGTGTTTAGGGAATACTATGTGCATGTAAGCAATTTTGCATTCAAGATATGTACTCCTATCCCAAAAGAATTCAATGCACATTTAAGCGTGTTCAAACCCTATATGAGCTGTATTATGTTGCGAAAAAGTGATAGAAATGAAATTTTGTTGTTTTTTTCCTAGGGATTTAAAGGTAGTTGAGAATGGAAAATACTTAGATCTCTTCCTGCTGGAAAGGCTAAAAGCATGGCATTTTAGGAGTCATTTTGATGTCGCTTAACCGAAGTTGCAATTACAATGTCATACATTATCTAATGGAAGCCATGACATGGACAAACCATCATCTCCATTCCAAAGGATAGAAGTAGAAAAGAGAGGAAGAAGAATGAACCATGCTGTGAGCGCACAAGAGCGTTAGTGAAATAATCATATGAGTGATAGACTAATGCAGATTTAATTGTATTTGTGAGATTAATAGAGTGATGAGATGTATTCATCGAGAAGCCTGTAGTCCAGATTGTTGAAAGCTAAAGAGGTTTTAAGCTTTTGAACTCAGAGATGGCGAAAAAAATGGAGTTTAAGCAGTGTGATATACTGTACAATTTCTTTAATCTCAATTAAATCATTGAGTACAATATATTGATCGCCATTGAATATTTATTCTCTTATATATTGTTTAATTTGGAGGTTTAGAGCATTGTGGTAAATACTACTGTACAATACTCAGTTGAGCTTTAGAGGTTTGATAGCTTTAACATAATAGTTTTGACAAATACTCTGTCATATCTGCAGTTCAATGTATTTGATTTGTGTAAACCATGATGCTTTTTTTATAAATATTTTTAATAATTTCTCTATCGAGCTCCTACACAAATTTTACAAGACAACCATGTCAGTATGTATATTGCTGATTCTGGTACTTGGTCAGGCTTGCTATGCTGTTCTTCAGAGTTGGGTGTCCAAGAAGTTTATGACAGGATGGTAATTAACTTGGCCTATGTTTGAAAGTTGATTTTTTGTTTTTGTTTCCCCCTTTTTTCCAACTTCTAATGGACCGACCGCATCCTGTTTTTACTTCCAATTCACAGTGTTGTTCTCTTTCCTGTTGCTGTTACATTTTTCGTCACTTGGTGGTTTATTCAGTTTGTTGATGGTTTCTTCAGTCCTATATATGAAAGGCTTGGCATTGATATATTTGGTGAGTCATCAACACCATGTGATGGTTACTCTGGCATCGATTGCAAATTTTTTCCCAATTCTTTCTTTATAGACTCATGAGAACACTGGTAGTTATCGAGCTGAACCCTTTCTCACTAAAAGGCTGAGTTTGCTGTCTTGTTGGATCAAATTATTTATTCTAAATACTTTTACATGCTGCTGTAGGAAGTAACTTTTTTTTTGTTATTTCTGATGATTTTGTTTTGGAATTTATTAGGTACCATAAGTTAATGCATGGGTTGACCAATAGCTAGGTTTTGCAGATTATTTATCAAACTACCATTTCTTCCATTGTACTTATTTCCTTATTCCTGGTGCAGGTCTTGGGTTCATCACATCATTAATATTCCTTTTCTTTGTGGGTATATTTGCTTCCTCATGGTTGGGTGCCACAGTTTTCTTGATAGGAGAATGGTTTATAAAGCGTATGCCTTTTGTCAAACACATATACTCAGCTTCCAAACAAATTAGTTCTGCTATCTCTCCAGGTAAACCATTTCTTATAGTGTTCCTGTTATACTTCTGTAAAAATGAGTTGTTTGATGAGAAGTACAGAAAGTGGATAAGATCTGAAATGTCTGTTGCACACCAGAGTGCCAATGCTTCTCTCCTAGGATCCTTAAGGCCTTAACACCATGGCGAAAAAGGGCTAATTATGTATCTTCTTTTAATTGCTCAACTATGTACACTGGCAACATTTCCATTTTTTTACTACGTACTGCATTATGTATTGGCATCTTTCTTTATAGTATTTTATATTTGCTAATGTACAAGTTCATTGATTTTCATGATACTAATTTTCCAATGGAGAGAATTATTTTAGTGTTGCTTCGAACTAGTCCATTAATGGCGCATAAAACCTGGAGCATGGCAGATCCTTTAGACAGGCAAGGATCAATGTTGAGCTTAGTGCTATCCATAGTATCATACTATATAAGCTCTTGTTTTTTAATTTGTGGAAACTGACTGAGGGAAGAGCTTAACAATTCACAGTTCTTTTAACAAGGCAACGTTACGCCGATAGAAGGTCGTCATTTCCATTTTTGATCTCGATAAGAGATCCCGATAATGATGCTTTTTAGAATTCTCCCCTTTTTTGCACTCTGCAGGTGCTTGGTAATTGTCCTTATCATCCTGATAATATTGAAATATGCTACCATTATTTGTGTATTTGAATCAAGTGCGCTGATAGAAGGTCATCATTATCATTTTTGATCTCAAGAAGAGATCCTGATAATGATGCTTTTCAGAATTCTCCCCTTTTTTGCACTGCATGTGCTTGGTAATTGTCCTTATCATCTCATCCTGATAATATTGAAATATGCTACCATTATTTGTGTATTTGAATCAAGACGAGATTCTGCCAGAAATTTTATCCATTTGTATATTAGACTTACCTGGATGTAGGTGGGCATCCATGAAAACATAAAATATATATTTATGTAACATCATTTCATTTATTTCAGATCAAAATACGACAGCTTTCAAGGAAGTTGCCATCATTCGTCATCCTCGCATTGGAGAATATGCATTTGGTTTTATTACATCATCTGTAGTTCTTCAGGTGCTTGAAATAACCTGTCATTCAAAATTGTTGCAAATACTTTTATAGTTGATAAATGAATTAGTTTTGTATTGCGATTTCTTGTAGACCATAGTTGTATATGAAATCTTGTTGCTACAGAAGTTGCTTGATTACATATTTTGCTCTTAAAAGAGGCATGTTGTTAATATGAAACTTGAACTAGAAACAATTGATAATGAAATCGCTATCTATCATAATATTCATAATATTCATAATAGAACTACTGTCCCTGCCTCATAGCAGATGTTGCTTGCTGATCTTGTCATCCAAAACAGACTGAAATTGGAAATATGTATCTTAGAGCTGTATAATTTGGCTAGATAGATTAACACTTGTTACTGTAAATGGACTTTCTGTTCAATTGTTGGATCATAAAATATTGAATTCGGAAATATATACACAAGAGTCTTACAATTCAACTTGACATAGATCAACACTTGTTGCTGTAGATAGTCTTTCTTTTCAGTTGTTAGATCATAAAAGATTGAATTGTTAGATAAATAGAAACACTTGTCTTTATTTGGTTGTGGTTTCTTTGATGTAAATTGCCGTCTGTTGATTACAGAGAGATGATGGGGACGAGGAGTTATGCTCTGTTTACGTCCCAACAAATCATTTGTACATAGGGGACATATTTCTGGTTAATTCGAAGGAAATCATTAGGCCAAATTTGTCTATCCGTGAAGGCATAGGTGGGTGATCTGCTTTCCATTTTGTGCTTCATTTGCTTCATCATTACATTCACCTTGTATAATTTCTTAATTTGAAATTATGGGGTGATTACAGCTGGATATTTTTTTCTTCTCCTTTATGTTTTTAAATTCATTTTCATACAAATCAAGATCAGAAATTTTGGTTGCCAGTTTGGGATTCCTGGAAATGTAGAATCTTTTTTTGTGTGCATGGGTGGTTTTTGTCAGGAAGGACGGTGACAATTTGTTGACCTGAAATAACATTGAATAAATATCAAATACGATAGACTTTTTTTGACTGGAACGCGCTGACATTAGTTTTTAATTGGACGGCCTCTTTACCAACTCTTCTTCCATTTATTTCAGAGATCATTGTGTCCGTTGGAATGTCAATGCCACAGGTGATTTCTCCCTTGGAAAGAATCACACACCAGAATAATATGATCCCTCTGAACAGAGTGATGTAGAATGGTATCTTCTTGTCGAAGAATGAAACTTGCTATTTCACTACCACTACAACCAGTTTACTTCGAAGGCATAGTTGCATCTCTCCTCTCCCATCTTTCTGCTTGTTGGACAACACAAATTGTAGTAGTGAGTTACATAGTGGTGAAATGTTGTGTTTTGCTTCGAAAATGAATGCACAGAGTTAGGCTTATCCAGGTGGTGTAATATGTTTTTTGTATTTATGTTGTTATATTATTTTATTTTTATACAGAGAAAATGACAAAGAGATGTATGCCTATGGTCACCAGTGCGGATATTGTATTCGAGTTTTTTTCTCTTCTTGAGCTTGACATGTCCTTTAAATTCTCTTTCCCCAGTCACCTGTTCACAGGTCCATACTGCTGGATTTTTTGTAGTCTTGTGGGCATGGAAATTTGTACAATTTTTGCCTTAGCCTCTGTAAATTTCAGTCTCTTAAATTGTGGAACGACGATAATCATCCTTCTTTAAAGGTACAAATTCCACTATTTTATCCTGAACTTGGGTGTTTGTGAGATATTATTTTAAAATTATGACTTATTTGGTTAGAACAATAAAATCTTCTTATGTTGTTTGAAACACGCCTTCAAGAATTTTAGTACTATGAGCGCTGCTCTATATATATTGATTGAGGGGGATGCATTTTGTGAGCTGATGTGGGGGTGCAATCAATCCTACACCATCCAAAATCAGGCTCGGGAATTCATCGCAAGATCACTCTACGGTCTCACTTCAAAGGACACCTTTTGAAGGCACCATTGCGCTATATCCAAATAGTGATTATAAGCCCACCTCTGTGTCAAGCATTCTCCTACATTATATATTTAGATAATGAGCATTGAACAAAAATAATGGTTTAGGTTATCAAATGATTGGATAACCGAGGAAAAAAAAAATTACTTATTGTACTTAATTTACATCATAAAAATAAAAAATAAAAAAAATTATTTACTTAATTTTATGTTTTTAAGCACAAATTGCAATGGTTATTTTCACTACACAGATGTATTGAGAATCGAAAAGCATATTTAGATTCAAAAGCCTGTACCAAATGCACTTTTATGCTATTAGACATGTTGAAACTAAATCTCGGTAAATGAATATGCTCCTTTTAAAAGTTAAAGCTTTTAGATAAGAAAGTTAGACAGTGTATCATAGCAAGTAACTAGTTTATGAAAATAACGCACATACAATGACTCCGGTGCTAAATGAATCTACTTTTATTGTGAAAGGTGTTTTCAAAACTAATTTTGATAATGTGAATCAACAAGTAGTATACATAAAACACTTGAATCTAAAGAATTATCTCAATTGTGGGTTTCAGCTTTTCGTTCATTGTTCTACACAAGGCTACTTCTGCCACTAAAAAATTGAAGAAAAACCATATAATAATGAAGAAACGAGGCGTATCGTTATACACAAGGCTACTTCTGCTACTACTTTTTTTTTGGATATAACGATTCAATATGGTACATTTTATTAATGATGAATACACATAAAATGAACTTTGTAAAAGAAATAAAATTAACTTGTCCTAGCAAAGAACAACGTAAAAACTTAAATAATTACACTTCATGTGATATAATCATACCCCTTGTAATTATGTCAAGTATAATGTCTCGCCGGTTCTTGGTCGATTTCAGACTCACTTCTTGGGGTTTAACTCAAATGAATTTCTAAAACCACTAGGAATTCAGCTCCACCCAGATTTTTTACTTTAATTCTAATTTACCGAAATAGACCAATACAAGCTTGAATTCATGATCAATTAATTTGTCTAATGATCTTTCTCGAGCGGCGTCTAATCTATTTCATTTATGAACTTCCTTCATCTTTATGAAAGTTGTAAACATGACAAAATTACTCTAAAAAATATAGCAATACATCTTTATCCAATATCGAGCTTTATTAACACCAATTTTCAACCACTCGCCTTTAAAATAAATCACAATTCATTCAAATATTGATCAAATGTATGGAATTTAGAAAACATTCAACCAATCAAGTTTCAAATGAAGTAAAATATCAAAACACAGTTTACACGGTCGTCTTGGGCTCAGCTAACATATTCATATTACAAGAACTCAATTTCAACAAACACATCATCTATAATTAAGAAAAGGGTTGATAAATCTTGAGTTTTCGAACGTATTCTTGTGCTTTTCCTAATATAGGCCAACATTCTCCATCTAAGACTTGAAGTACAGATTTGTTACTGAACATTGAATTTGCAGCAGCATAAATAAGAGTCAGGAAACATATTGTTTCCAAATAAAATAACAGGCAAAGTCAAGATTTCAAGGCATCTCCCAATAAGCTTTTAAGGAGTCCATAGAATTGCTGCTTCTCTTCTGTAGTCTGGAAGCGCCATGTCCAAATTTGGAGGATGTTAAATAAGTAATGGGCTGCCTCACTATACTATTGCTGTTGGGCCACTGGTAATGTTGGGCCTGTTTTGGAGCCTGGCCTTCTTGGTTCTTTAGATCAGACACATGGCTGATTATCCACCCTTGGATTGTAACTGTTCGAATTATTTCATTACTTGGCTCTGGGGTGTCTTGGGATGATTCATTCGAGATACTTCGACTCTCTCTCTCTGGACTCTCTGTCTCCCCTTTTCTCTGAGTGTAGATTAGGGTTTCTTCTGTGATTCGTTCACTGTAAATTGCTTTGTGTTCTGATCAATCGTTCTTGGAGAAGTCTGTACTGTAGTGTATGGATTTAGGTTGATTTCTNTAAGGGTTGATTTTAGTGATTACAAGAGTCTGTAATAGTTGAGGCTAGATTGATACGAAGAAACCTTCGGTTTCTTCGAACATCTGTAACTTTTCTTGGTTGAAACTTAGTGGATCTAGAGCTATATCCTTTGTGGATGCTCAACGGGTGAGTAGGTCTGTGTGACCGAACATCCGGACCCTACAGGGTGAAAAATCGTGTGTTCAAGTATTATTTTTACTTTCTGCACTTATATTTTGGATTGTGATCTTCGATCCTCTAAATCTGTTGATTTGGGACCTAACAAGTGGTATCATAGCTTTTCTATAAATTAGGGTTCTTGGTTTCTATCTTTCTTGTTCGGATCTGGGTTCCTGGTTGGTCGAGTGGTTCTGTGTGAGAAAATTTTTGTCAACTCACCTTTAACTCGTAGTAACTCAGTGTAAATCCTCTGTCCTCTACTGAGTCTTAGTGATTCTGTTTCTTGACTCGTTCTGAGTCAAACGAGTGGGATTAAATTTTTCAAATCTTTGACTGAGTCTGTGACTCACTACTGTTCTTACTGAGTTTTGGTGACTCGTTGCTGTCCTGCATACAACATAAGGCCATTGGAACGATTCTGGTACTTTTCTTACTGCTTCTTCACTCTGAAACATTGAGGTTTCAAAATCTGGTAACTTCTCTCAAAACCCCCTTTTTCTTTTTGAAGAATTGTTCAGTCTTT